TGGCTCTGGGGAAATGGCAGAGAGTAGTCTCTGTGGTTTCCTTCCACAAATTCCAAAGCCTATGCAGTCTCCTGGGGGCAAATTCAGACGCAATCCCAGAGATGGTTCCAGTACTGGAATGGCCAGACACTAAAACAGCTATGACAGAAAAGCTGAAACAGCCAATGGAGTGGAGGGTAGCAGACAGACAGGTGGGATTTCAGACAGACATGACACACAGGGAAAGATGGGAAAGTGCTAGAATGGAAACTGGGGTCCGTATTGAAGTGGGCATGAGGGCACAGTGGGCCAGAAGCTTCCGAAACAGTGAGGACAGGCTATGAGGAGCACGCAGCCAGAGGGCCGCAGGGGTGAAGAGCCGCAGCACAGTGAACCCCAAGTCTGTGGGAATAGCCAGTGATAGAAGACGAACAACAGAGCTTCCAAAGGAGGGGAGAAGGGCAGACACCCCTGGAAAGACAATAGTGGCCCTGCTGCTTCAGACCCAATGAGCGACCGCATCTGTCGGACAGATGACAAAGACCAGGGAGGCTGACCCTCTGCACCAACAGCGCAGGGTCACCTGCTGGAAGCCCAAGAATAAAGCAACTTTAGGGGCTCCAGTGACAGTGACACCAGACTTGGGAACAATGACAAGACAGTGGCTTTCACACCACCTGGAAGTCCATTTTCAGAAGGCTGGCACTGTAGGAAATGAGCTTCCAAACATTTTTATACTTACTTAAAAAAATACTTTTTTGTGTATGCCTATGTGTGTGTGTGTGTGAATGCACATGAGTGCAGATGTGTCATATCCCCTGGAGCTGGAGTTACAGACAGCTGTGAGTCACCTGATATGGGTGCTTCAAACTGAACCTGGCTGCTCGGCAAGAGCAGTATGTGTTCTTAACCACTGGGCCATCTTTCCATCCCCTCCCACATTAAAACAAAACAAAACACCAGCTTCTTTGGAGTAAAAGGGAATGACACGGATGGAAGCTCATATCTAAGAATGGATGGAGAGACCAGGTATATACCCCACTCTGCTTCTCTTTGTCCCCTTCTCAGGCAGGAGTTCATGGTTCTAGAAACTAAAACAGAAGTTCCCTGAGAAGAGAGAGTTAAGCAGGGGAGGTATGTCTCAATCTTATCAGCATAGGGCAATATTTGGGGCATTAGAAAGATACAAAAAAAGTATAAAGACTTCTAGGCTCCCAACCAATCTGAACTTGTCAGAATCTTGTTTTTAAAAGCTCCACACAGTCATCCTGTTGCCCTCTCTTCCCCTGCCCTGTTGTCCCCTTCTTTCTAATAGCCCCTCTACTTACATTTTTTCTTATGACCTAATGAACTTCTATCAGGGTTAGCTACAGAAACATGAGTAGTAACTTACACAAGTACCAGCATGGCATCGTTGGTACACAGCTGAAGAAAATGTCCCTTCCACCCCAGGTAACCACGAACTGGCTACAGAGCCTCAGGAAAAGCACAGGTGATCACATTTTCCTCACTGGCAGACCTTACCTAAAGATCCCCAAGGAGGGCAGGGCTTTGCGAACCCCTCCACCCTCCCTCTGGGTCTTCCAGTCTTCCCATCCCCCTCCCACAATGTTCCCTGGATTTGGGGGGTGATACAGACACCCCATTAGGACTGAGTGCTCCTCAGCCATTTCGACTTCCATTTCTAGGACTTCTTGGGCCCTGGTACTGCAGAAATAATAGCGCAAGTGTTGAATAGAGTAATCAGTTCAAACTCTTCAGAAAACAGAATATTTGCCTTGTAGTATTTACTTCCCTTGTAAGAAATATACTAAAATTAAAATTCCTGCAATTAACTACCATTCATGAAGGGAGCTGTCACACTATAATTAGTTAAGCGCCTCATTTTGTAAGCAGCACACACATGGGGAAGTAGGAGTCAAGGTTATTTCACTCCATCAGCATCTTGGAAGCACGCTGTTTCGCTTGTCTGTTTGCCAGCTGCTCAAGGACTCAGAGTGACTTCATGTCAGATGTGCAGCAGTTAGAGGGAGCTCAGCAGGCTGAGTATGTAAGGCTGCAGGCAGAGGGTGAGCAGGAACCGTCTGCGGTTCATGGTGGTCCTACAAGCCTCCCATAGAACAGTGAGCACCAACTGAGGAAAGGAGAGTCCAGGCAGCCAGGAAAGGAGCCCAGAGGAAGAAAGAGCAAGAAAGCGTCCCACTCCACAACCGTCCTTTCTCCTTTAGTGAACAGACAGGCTAACATCATGGGAAGAGGGGTAAAAGAGAGTAAGCCCAGCGTCAATCACTCAAACAAGGGCAAAGCTTCAGTCAAACCAAACACCCCTTGGTGCCTGGATGGATCCCTGCAGAACATGACAGCACGTGGCCTCACACTCAACCTCTCGGTAGTCAATAATAGTGGCAGGAGATTAGGAGACCATGAGTGACTGTGGTGCTAAGTATGAGGACCCACATAAAAAAACTGGGTGCAGGATTAGGTGCTTTTGTAACCACAGCATTGGGTGGCAGTGAGGTGGCTCCCTGGTCAGTCAGTCTATCCTTCTCTATGAGTTCTAGGTCAGTTACAAGGGGGAGGCCCTACCTGAGGAATGACATCTGAGCTTGTCCTCTGGCTTTTACATGCACATGCGGCATGCTTCACACACACACACACACACACACACAAACACACACACAGAGAGAGAGAGAGAGAGAGAGAGAGAGAGAGAGAGAGAGAGAGAGAGAGAGAGAGAGAGAGAGAGAGAGGCAGCATGAGTCAATGAGATGGAGACACCTCTGTAACCCTGGGAGGCTCTGAAGCCCCAGCAGCAAAGTGAAGCTCTCAGTCCAAAGGCTACACAAACACCCAGGAGAGATTCCTGAGCCTGAGGCTTGCAGGAGGGAACCAAGAAAAACCTCTCCCCAACCTACTGGGTGTCACAAATTTCAGGAAAGCCATAGAGAATGCTGACAGAGTGGAACAGGCCACCTCTGTGTGGTTCTCTAGGCAGCCAACAAAGCATCTTCATGGGCCTAGAGTCTGACTCTGTGCTCCTGGGAACCATGGGGAATCAAGTTCATGGTTTCCCAGATATGGTGTGCGTTCATATTCATTGTCAAGTTGCCAGGTTTTAGAATCACCTGAGACACAATTTTCAGGCATGTGTTTGGGGATGCATCCAGAGAGGATTAACTGAAGAGAGAAGACTCACTCTAAATGTGGGTAGTGCTGTCCCAAGGACTGGAGGCCTGCCTGAATAAAGAGGGAAAAGTGAATTGAGCACCAGCATCCATCTCTGCTTGCTGGCGCCAGATGATCCTCACACCTGTCGCCATGACTTCACCACCATGGTAGACGACAACTTCAAGTTGTGGTCCAAGGTAAGCCCTTCCTTCATTAAGCATTTGTCAAGTTATTTTGTCACAGCAGTGAGGAAAGTGGCCTTTAAACTGAATATCATAGATATCCAAGTTCATGTCACCTCCTTCCAGCCCTGTCCTCACTACAAGCCACATGAACTAAAAAGCCTTGGGAAGACAGACATGCACAGCTTCTTCCTAAAGGCACAAGGAGCAGCTGTGGCTACAGAATCACTTCCCAGGACCATGGAGCATGGAAACTCAAAGGGATCATGGAATTGTATTTGCTTTAAAGGAGTGGTTTATGGTTATATAAACAATACCCAATATTGCTGCCATAAATATTATTTCAATATATTTTCTTCCCAAATACCATGACCAGCAAGGGCATAGGAATAGGACAAACACAACAGACAAGGGAACAAGTTCCAAGCAAAGGGCAGGGTCAAAGCCACCATGCCCACCCTGTTCAGGTAAAGTCAGGGTCACAGCCACCATGTCCATCTCATTTGTAGGTAAAAACCAGACCAGCATTTTAAGAGAAATTTAAAACTGTAGAAGAGACATTTCAAAATTTAAAAAGAGACAGCTAGAAATCCAAGGGCTTAAAACTATGAACTCCTAAGCTCCAATATAGCAATGCTAGGAGGTGCGGCACTTGAGCTGTGATGAGGTTATGGGGTGGAGCCCTCAAGGGTGGGATTCATGCCCATTGGTGTAGCACAAAAAGGCTACAGATGTCCACCTCCCTCTTCACTACATGAGGGCAATGGGAAGTTCTTATCAGAGGCCAGATCTGCAGTAACCTTGACGTATGCCTGCAGTAACCTTGACGTATGTGCTCCAGCCTCCAGAGCTCAGAAGTAAATTGCTGCTGTTTAAGGCCCACCCCACCTGGGCGATTCAGCAGAGCAGCCTGAGAAGAATAAGATAGATCCCGATACCAAAATTACAACACAGCAGCAGAGGGACCAAACAGATCAGAAACAAGGGAAGTGAATTGGACAGGACCAAGAAATAAGTAAGCAAGACCAAAGGATAATAAGGGATGGAGAGAAGTCAAAGGGGAATAAGGGACAGAGAGTACAAAGAGGGTCTTTCATTTAAATCTTATTTCTGGGAAGGGCAAATGAATCAAAGCAGTACTAAAAACAACAGCAGGATGGATGGACAGCCTCCTGGGACAGACAGCCTCCAGCAGCTGGGAGTCAGGTGAGTGAGATTCTACCAATGAGTGTTCACTACCAGAAAAAAAAATAGTTCTGCTGCTAAAGTCTAAGACTCACAACCAAAACTTCAAAACAAACGGCAATAACAAAAGGATGGCACAGTGGGTAAAAGCATTTACTAGAAAGCCTGATGCCTTAGGTTCAATCCCAGACATCCACATGGGGGGACCAGAGAACCAGTTTACACAAGTTGTTCTCTGATCTCCATATGCATGCCATGCCGTGTGTGTGTGTGTGTGTGTGTGTGTGTGTGTACATATGTGTGCACACCCACACCTGTGTGTGTCCACACAAATGTGTGAGAAAAATTAAAACATAAATTTTTTAAAAAACGCAAAACTCCCAGGTTAATCTATCCAAGTTCTTGACAATTTATCAATCAAATGAGCAAGAGCCCGGGAAGAGATCTGGAAGTGAAAATGGCTCAGAACCATGGCAGATGGCCTACCTTCAGCCACTGCTCAGCCTGCTCCTTGCTCTGGACGGCGAGAACCAGCGGGTCTGTGCCTTGCTGGGTGATTTTCAGCTCATGTTTCTTCTTCTTGCTGTCTCTTGGGATGTATGTGATGCTGCATCCTTGCAGCGGCAGCTCCATCTGAGGCTGCTGGTCCTTGGAACTTTTGTAGCACTGCATGGAACACAGCAGACCAATTAATGTCATGAGGACAAGTGATCAGAAACAATGATGAAACCCAGTACAACCAAACCTCCAGTGCTGGCCAGGTTTCAGGAGGTGCTGGGACAGAGGGAAGGCAGCAGCCAGTTAAAAGGTGTGACATATACAATCTGTGGCCTATCCACTCCCCTTCTACATCTGGCACACACCGTGTCTGTTAATCCAGCTGAGGTCTAAGGAACATCTAGGCCATTACTAAGAAGACACTGATTCAGCATGTGTACTGTTGGAGCATCTTCATAAAATTACACTTATTTTCATGTGAATATGAGATATATAAAAGGACTACTAGATCTGTTGCAACTTCAGAGACCCACTATGGGCAGTTAGTGCAATAATGAAGATGCCTGGAGCTGGAGAGATGGCTCAGCACTTGAGAACTCACACTGCGCTTGTTCAGAACCTAGGTTTGGGTCCCAGCATCCACATCAGTTGGCCCACAATCACCTGTAACTCCAGGGCTGTCTGGAGATCCTGTTAGAGGCAAGCCCAGGCTGCCTCCAGACAGGACTCTTCCAAGGCTGCTGCTAAGAGCCCAAGGAAGAGCAAAAAAGCAGGACTCGGTTCAAGTGAAATGCCCCAGAGGCTGACCTTGACTCTCTCAGCACTAGACACAGGTGGCCCTGGGAAAGAAGGGTGACTTTATCTCAGAGTTTCCTCAATGGAGGCAGCTCTCCCAGGGCTACCCATCAGCTAGGGAATGGGTGCTTCAGTCTCAGGGAGCTGCCTGAGTGGGTGCAAAATTGTCTGGGCATGGAAATAAATAGAGATGGAGTCAATCAAGTAGGTAACCGTGACACCCACAGGAAGCCATGCAGGGAAGAAAAAGCACTTTCTCTCATCTGAGTAGTAGAGTTATGGGTTATTTCTAAAAGAAAAGAAAACACACACATACACCAACAACAGCTACTTTAAGCCAAATGTGGTAGAGCTTGCCTAAAATCTCATCATTCAGGAGACTGAGGAGGGAGGACAGAGAGCTCGAGGCTAGCCCAGGCTACATAGTAAGTTTGGGGTTACCCTGAGCTATAACAAGACTCTGTCATACAAAGTCAAAATCAAATGAAAAGCAAAGTTTCATCTTGCATTTTGTCTTGCATAGTGTCTTCCCTCGTTTTCTATTTATTTCTTCAATTAAACTAGTCTCTATGGAAGTCATTACCATCATGGAGCAGAGAGAGGGATCTCAGAGGAGGTCAAATTTCAGGAAAAAAAGTAGGGGAAGAGGAAGACAATAAATAGGTGTGGGACAGGGACCAGGAACCTGGGCCTCAAAATGCTGACCCTGCATCAGCCCTGAGGCTACCTAAATTGGCAATAAAACTTCTCTTTCACATGAGAGTTGAGTTCTCTTAAAGATATTTTATATAACATGTCACCACATTGCAGCTATTGCATCAGATTATAAATAAGGGCTGTGTTAATATTTTTCATGCTTTAAAATCCCTGATGGCATCATTTTTGGCATATTCTATATTTGGAAGAAATTCAGGCCACACATGTGGAAAAAATATGCACTTTGTTTTAAAAAGCTGAGCAAAAACATGAAGCACACACAACGTCCTAAGAGCCTACGCAAGTAAGACACCCGTAATTCACTGGGGACCATGATGGTCTCTCTTACTGTGTTATCTACTCCACTAAGTGTGCGGAAACAGAAACTCAGCTTCTCTGCTTTAATGACTCACTTTTGAGCAATTGTTTCCTGAGATTAATTTGAAAGACAAAAGGCAAAAACTGTGCAGTAAAGCCCCTGACCTAGTGACCAGCCATGGTTTCTACAGGAAGTGGGGGTGTGCAGGAACACAGTCTCCAAGGCTGCTCCTTCTTAGAGCCCCCAAGGGGACGGCACATGTGGCCTGAGCTCTGTACCTTCCACAGCCCTGCTTCTGAACTTACTCCACCTTCCTGTTTGCCTCAAAAACAAAACGAAACAAGAAAACTTCTTTTTGGAAATCTTTAGGCTTCCCAAAAGAATGCCCTTTCCCTCTGCCCTCCCCAGGCGCCTCCACAGTCTCAGGGCCTCTGCTGTGACCTGGCTGGGAGGAATTTACTGACTCACTACAATGAGAAAGTCTATCTTGCAACTTCTGGCAAGTCTCAGCACTGCTCATTTCCACTGACACAAGCCACAGGCCCAGCAGGATGGGAAGGATTTGGGTGGGGTAACCGTGAGCCCTCCCTGCAGAGGAGACAGCCTGGTTGGGCTGGGCCCTGCCCCGGGCTCGCAAAAAGGTCCCAGTGCTTGCCTCCCCTGTGGTAGCATCTGCAAGTACCAGCTGCCATCCTGCACTTCAGACTGCCAACGGTGCAGCCCCACTGGGCTCCTCACCAGCAACTTGGTGTCCTTGATGACACAGAGCAGCTTGGTCCACTGGCCAAAGCGTTTCTTGCGCAGCAGGAAAGCGCAGATCTTGGCATCTTTCACCAGATCCATAGAGGCCTCCTCCGAAGGCCACTGGTGCCGGGTTTTCTTCCCTTTTCCGTCCTCCTCCTCCTCATCATATGACTCATAGGAGCTGCTCATGGCATCAGAGTCATAATCTGCGGAGGAGAAAAGGACAGAGGTGAGAGGCAGACCTCATAACCCACCGCACCTGGCCTCATTTCCAACCACTGTGGGCTTCAGTAAGAAGGGCTTTGGCCCTGCGGATGAAAACTCCAAGACTCAGGCAGTAGGAACTCAACAAAATGCTTCAAATGCAGTGACCAAAACATTGAGATTTGTTTTTAAAACCTCCAGACTCTTTCACATAGACAGGATGATGTCACCATGATGGCAGCATTAACTTCACTCTGCCTAGGGTGGCCACTCAGAACCTTGTCCATATAGGGTCTCTACTCTGTATCTGTCCGTATTAAATACCTGCCAAGTCTGTCTACTGACACTGTTGCCCACAAACCCTCCAGACCCCTCAGGATCCACTGCTCCCCATTGTGTCACTTTGGATCTGTGATGGATTTGTCCCATCTTTCTGACAGAATGTCCCTCACACAAGGACACATCAGCTTAGGTTAGTTTCTCCACACATATCCTGCTCTATCTTTCCTCTCTCTTCTCTGCACATACCACAAGCTGCCCCCATCTCCTCCCTCTCTGCGGGTATAGCAGGTGCTCGTGTACTAGTATTAAGCTCATGACTTCCGCTGGTGAACACTCCTTGCTTTCGAAGCCCATGTCATGGGCTCAAGAATAATGTCCTGGTACTCATGTGCTGAGGTCTTCAGGCTAACATGACTGCATTTGGAGATGGGGCTTTGGGGTTATACTTCAGATGAAATGTATTACCAATATGACTATGACCATAAGTGTAGAGTCCTAATCCAATGGGAGTGGTGAGGGAAGGACAAAGGGAGAGAGGGAGGGAGGAAGGGAGGAAGAAGGCACACTGGCAGGACAGGACTGAGGACACAGCCAGAAGGCAATACCTCTAAGGTAGGATACCTGTAAGAGAAGCCACTGGGAAGATAAACCAACATTCCCAATAATTTCAGCCTTCCAGCAGCCTGTGCAGGCCCTTGTGACACCACACAGAGCCTAACAGACTCTTCACTGTGCTCACGCTGGTCAGCCATCTACACCAGGCTGTGAGCCTGGGGAAGGGAGACCATCTTGCTGCATGTGAGAGCTAGATGCACAGTCATTGAGAGAAGAATGGTCACATGGGTTCAACCACACATGCAGATCCTTCAGAGGGACAGCAGCACATTCAGGCCTGGGGCAGACTGGAATGGAGGTGACATACTTGCGCATCACCTGGGGAGTGGTAACAGGTCTGAGACTATACTGAGGATGTGAAGCCACATGGTCTGAGAAGTGCTGATGACACAGGAATGAGGGCTTCAGTTTGTACACACTGTGCACAGAGACAGACGGCCAGGCTCCCCCTGCCATCCTCAGACCAGCAGCCCTTCTCTCTCTAATCTCCCCCTGCTTATACCAGCAAGTGACTGCTCCTAATGTCTGCATCTGCCCAACACCCCCTCTTTACATGGCAGCCACAAAGGAACATTTCAATTTCCATTTTTATTAAAATTAAGTCTTGAACTCCCCATTTTCACATACAATTCAAGGGCCCAAGCTCTATGACTGTGTGGCCAGCAAACAGCAGGGCATAGACAGAGCACAGCCTCTGTTGCCAACTTTATGGAGAAGAACACACCATTAGAGAGGTTCATACTATCAAAGACAGGGAACTAAGAGTCAGATGACCAGGCACTGGGAGAACGAGACTGTCACTCAGCCCATGGAGAAGCTGCTAGCAGCCAGCCAGAAGTCTGAGACAATCCAGAAACAAATGCACCCTGTGAAACACCAGTTTCCAGAGTATGTGGCTACTTGGTATTAGCAATGGTGTGGAAGCCCTTGAGCAGCACGGGGCAGGTGGTGGTGGACACTACTGTTAGCACGTGCTGTACTCCACCCTAGTAGCCTGTCACAAAGACAGGAATGTTGGGTGTACATGGACACTTAAAAAGGTTTTATTTTTTCCCATTTATTTATGTCTTCGGTATATGTTTTTATTTAAATTAGAAACGTGAATGTTTCACATGTCAATCCCAGCTCCCTCTTCCACTCCCCCTCCCTTGTCCCTCCACCATCCCACAGTCCCCCACCCAATCCCCACATCATTCCCCAGAAAGAGTGAGGCCCTCCTTGGGGGATCTCCAAAGTCTGTCATTTTATCCAGGGCAGGACCTAGGCCCTTCCCCATGTGTCCAGGCTGAGAGAGCATCCCTCTGTTTGGAATGGGCACCCAAAGATCATTCATACACCATGGTAATCACTGATCTACTATCCAAGGCCCCAGTGATTTCTGTGTTCTCCTCACTGGCACTACATGCATGGAGTCTGGATCAGTCCCCTGTTGGCCTCTCAACCATCAGTCTGGGATTCAAGAGCTCCCCTTTGTTCAGTCAGCTGTCTTTGTGGGTTTCACCATCATTGTCTTGACCCCTTTGCTCATCACTCCTCCATCTCTGTCACTAGGTTCCAGGAGTTCAGTTCAGTGTTTAGCTGTGGGTATCTGTCTCTGCTTCCATCAGTCACTGGATGGAGGTTCTAGGATGGCATATAGGGTAGTCATCAACCCTATCATCAAGGAGGGGCTATTCATATAGTCTCTTCACTATTGCTTAGTTTGTCAGTTGGTGTTATCCTTGTAGATCTCTGGAGATCTCACTAGTGTCAGCTCTCTCCTCAAGCCTATAATGACTCTATTATGGTATATCTCATCCTGCTCTCCTCTATTCTTACCTCTACTCAACCTTCCTGCTCCCTCATGCCTTCTTCTCTGCTCCTCTTATCCTCCTCTCTTTTTCCTGGTTCCCTCTCCCTTCCCCAATGTTCCCAATCTGCTCAGAAGATCTTGCCTCATTCCACCTCTCTGGGGTACCATGCATCTCTCTTGGGAACCTTCCTGTTTCCCAGACTCACTGGCACTGGGATTGTAGGCTGACACTCCCATGATCCATATCTAAAATCCACATATGAGTGAGTACATACCATGTTTGTCTTTTTGTGACTGGGTTACCTCACTCAGGATGGTTTCCTCTAGTGCCATCCATTTGCCTGCAAATTTCAAGATTACATTGTTTTTTTTTCCACTGAGTATTATTCCATTGTGTAAATGTACCACATTTTCTCTATCCACTCTTCAGTTGTGGGGCATCTAGGTTGCTTCCAGGATCTAGCTATTACAAATAATGCTGCTATGAACATAGCAGAACAGACATCCTTGTTGTGTGAATGGGCATCTTTTGGGTATATGCCTAAGAGTGGAATTGCTGGGTCTTGTGGAAGACTTGAGTCACATTTTCCTGAGGAATCTCCATACTGATTTCCATAATGGCTGTACAAGTTGGTATTCCCACCAGCAGTGGAGGAGTGTTCACCTTTCTCCACATCCTCTCCAAACAAACTGTCATTGGTGTTTTTGATTTTAGCCATTCTGACAGGAGTAAGATAATATCTCACAGGTGCTTTGATTTGCATTTCCCTAATTTCTCGGCCATTTTATACTCCTCTATTGAGAATTCTCTATTTAGTTCAGTTCCCCACTTTTTAATGGATCTTTTGGTGTTTTGGAGACTTGCTTCTTGAGTTCTTTGTAAATTTTGGAGATAAGCCTTCTGTCAGATGTGGGGTTAGTGAATATCTTTTCCCAGTCTGTGGGTTGCATTTTTGTCTTGCTGACTGTGTCCTTTGCCTTACAGAAGCTTCTCAGTTTCAGGAGGTCCCATTTATTAACTGTCGATCTCAGTGTTTGCGCTACTGGTGTTATATTCAGGAAGTGGTCTCCTGTACCAATTCGTTCAAGGGTACCTCCCACTTTCTCTTCTAACAGGTTCAGTGTGGCTGGATTTATGTTGAGGTTTTTGATCCATTTGTACTTAAGTTTTGTGCATGGTGATAGACATGGATCTATCTGCAGTCTTCTACATGCCAATATACAGTTATGCCAGCACCATTTGTTGAAGATGCTATCTTTTTTTCATTGTATAATTTTAGCTTCTTTGTCAACAATCAGGTGTTCATAGGTTTGTGGATTAATCTCAGGGTTTTCAATTCGATTTCATTGGTCTACCTGTCTATTTTTGTGCCAGTACCAAGCTGTTTTCAGGACTACAGCTCTATAATAGAGCTTGAAGTCAGAGATGGTGATGCCTCCAGACATTGCTTTTTTGAGCAGGGTTGTCTTGGCTATCCTGGGTTTTTTGTTTTTCCATATAAAGTTGAGAATTGTTCTTCCAAGGTCTGTGAAGAATTGTGCTGGGATTTTGATGGGGATTGCATTGAGTCTGTAGATTGCTTTTGGCAGGATTGCCATTTTTACTACATTGATCCTACCTATCCAAGAGCATGGGAGATCTTTCCATTTCCTGGTGTCTTCTTTAATTTCTTTCTTTAAAAACTCAAAGTTCTTTAGATACAGATCTTTAACTCATTTGATTAGCATTACCCCCAAGTATTTTATGTTGTTTGTGGCAATTGTAAAGGGTGATGCTTCTCTGAATTCTTTCTCAGCCCTTTTATGGTCTGTATATAGTAGGACTACTGATTTTCTTGACTGATCTTGTATCCTGTCACTTTGCTGAAGGTGTCTATCAACTGTAAGAGTTCCCTGGAAGAGTTTTTTGGGTCATTTATGTAAGCTATCATATCATCTGCAAATAGTAAAAGTTTTACCTCTTCCTTTCCAATTTGTATCCCTTTAATCTCCTTTTGTTGTCTTATTGCTCTAGCTCGAACTTCCAGAACAATATTGAAGAGGTATGGGGAGAGGGGACAGCCTTGCCTTGTTCCTGATCTTAGAGGAATTGCCTTGAGTTTCTCTCCATTCAGTTTGATGTTGGCTGTTGGTTTGCTGTATATAGCTTTTATATGTTTAGGTATGTTCCTGTTATCCTGGATCTCTCCAAGACCTTTATCATGAAGGGATGTTGGATTTTATCAAAGGGTTTTTCAGCATCTAGTGAGATGATCATGTGAGTTTTTTTTGTTTCTCAGTTTGTTTATATGGTAGATTACATTGATGGATTTTCATATGTTGAACCATCCCTGCATCCTTGAAATGAAGCCTACTTGATCATGGTGGATGAGTTTTCTGATGTGTTCTTGTATCTGATTTGCCAGTATTTTATTGAGTATTTTTGCATCAATGTTCATGAGAGATATTGGTCTGACATTCTCTTTCTTAGTTGTGTCTTGTGTGGCTTGGGTATCAATGTTATTGAAGCCTCGTAAAAAGAGTTTGGCAAAGACCCTTCTGCTTCTATTGCATGGAATACTTTGAGGAGAATTGGTATAACCTGTTCTTTGAATTTCTGGTAAAAATTCTGCACTGAAGCCATCTGGCCCTGGGCTTTTTTGGTTGGGAGACTTTTGATGACTGCTTTTTGATTTAATTTTGGTAAGTGATATTTATCCAGAAAATTGTCCATTTCCTTTTAAATTTTCAAATTTTGTGGAGTACAGCTTTTCGGAATATGACCTGATGATTCTCTGGATTTCCTCACTGTCCATTGTTATATCTCCCTTTTCATTTCTGATTTTGTTAATTTGCATGTTCATACTCTGCTGTTTGGTAAGTTTGGATAAAGGTTTGTCTATCTTGTTGATTTTCTCAAGATAGACATTGTTACATTGATTCTTTGTATCGTTTTCCTAGTTTCTACTTTATTGATTTCAGCCCTCAATTTAATTATTTCTTGGCATCTGCTCCTCTAGAGTGAGTTTGCTTCCTTTTTTTCTAGAGCTTTCAGTTGTGCTATTAATTCTCTAGAGTAACTATTCTCCAGTTTCTTCATGTGGGCACTAAGTGCTATGAACTTTCCTCTTTCTTAGCACTGCTTTCAAAGTGTCCTATAAGTTTGGGTATGTTGTGTCTTCATTCTCATTGAATTCTAGGAAGTCTTTGATTTCTTTATTTCTTCTTTGACTCAGGAGTGGTGCAATTGTGTATTATTCAATTTCCATGAGTTTGCAGGGTTTCTGCGATTTGTGTTATTGTTGAATTCTAACTTTAAGGCATGATGGTCTGATAAGATACATGGAGTTATTCCAATTTTTTTGTACCTGTTGAGGTTTGCTATATTGCCAAGTATGTGGTCGATTTTTGCAAAGGTTCTGTGTGGAGCTGAGAAGAATGTATATTCTTTTGTGTTTGGATGGAGTGTTCTATAGATGTCTGTTAAACCCAATCGGGTCACAACTTCTATTAGGTCCTTTGTATCCTTGTTAAGTTTCTGTCTTGTGGTCCTGTCAAGTGGTGAGAGTGGGGTGTTGAAGTCTCCCACTACAAGTGTATGAGGTTTTATATGTGCTTTGAGTTTTAGTAATGTTTCTTTTACAAACGTGGATGGCTTTGTATTTGGGGCATAGATGTTCAGAACTGAGACTTCATCTTGGTTGATTTTTCCTGAGATGAGTATGAAGTGACCTCCTTCATCTCTTTTGATTGATTTTAGTTTAAAGTCTAATTTGTTAGATACTAGGATTGTTACCCTTGCTTGTTTCTTGGGTCCATTTGATTGGAAAATCTTTTCCCATCCCTTAACTCTGAAATAACATCTGTCTTTGAAGCTAAGATGTGTTTCTTGTATGCAGCAGAAGGATGGATTCTGTCTTCGAATCCATTCTGTTAACTTGTGTCTTTTTATGGGCAAGTTAAGACCATTAATAAAGGGATATTAATGACCATTGATAGCTCGTTCTTGTTTGTTTTAGAATGGTTGGTGGTGATGGAATTGTATGTAGATTTCCATCATTTTTTCTTTTTCCTGTTGGTAAAGTGGGATTATCTATTGTCTATGTTTTTCTGGTTGTAGTTAACTTGGACTGGAGTTTTCCTTCCAGAATTTTCTGTAGGGCTGAGTTAGTGGATATGTATTGTTTAAATCTGGTTTTGTCATGAAATATCTTGTTTTCTCCATCTATATTGATTGAAAGCTTTGCTGGGTGTAGCATTCTTGGCTGTTATCCGTGGTCTCTTAATGTTGGTAGCATATCTATGGAGGACCTTCTGGCTTTCATAGTTTCCATGGAGAAGTCGGGTGTAATTCTAATAGGTTTGCCTTTATATGTAACTTGGCCTTTTTCCCTAGCTGCATTTAATATTCTTTTTTTATTCTGTATGTTTGGGTCTTGATTATTATGTGTCGAGGGGATCTTTGGGGGGGTCCACTCTACTTGGTGTTCTGTAAGCTTCTTGCACCTTCATTGGCATGTCTTTCTTTAGGTTGGGAAAGTTTTCTTCTATTATTTTGTTGAATATGTTTTCTGGCCCTTTGAGGTGGGTTTCTCACCTTCTTCTATACCTATTATTCTTAAGTTTGGTCTTTTCACGGTGTCCCATATTTCCTGGGTATTTTGTGTTAGGGATTTGTTGGACTTAGAATTTTCTTTGGTCGATGAATCTAATTCTCCTAGTGTATCTTCAACACCTGAGATTCTCTCTTCCATCTCTTGTATTCTGTTGGTTATGCTTGCATTTGTAGTACCTGACCATTTTCCCAGCTTTTCTATTTCCAGCATTCCCTCAGACTGTGTTTTTTTATTGTTTCTATTTCAGATTTCAGCCCTTGCACTGTTTGAATTGTTTCTTGCAATTTTTGCTTTGTCTTTTACTCCATTTCTTGCATTTTTGGATTGTTTTTTCTTCCATCTCTTTAAGGGATTTTCTCATATCCTCTTTGAGGGCCTCTGTCATTTCCATGAAGTTGTTTTTATGTCATTCTCTTCTGGTTCATTTGTGTTGGGGTGTTCCAGTCTTGTTGGTGTAGGGTCTCTGGACTCTGGCAGTGTCATATTGGTTTTTCTGTTGCTCCTTGTGTTTTTATATTGTCTCCTCCCTATCCGTTCTTGCAGTGGGTTCCAGAGGGTACCACTTCCTCTCCTGGTGGGTGTTGGACCAGGGTTCCCTTCTGGTGGGTGCAGGTAAGTCCACTGTTCCTGGTCTCGTGGGTGGAGAAATGGACTAGGATGCTGGGGTGCTTTGAATCCCACTGGTATGGATGGGAGCCCCAGTGGTATACCCAGGCACAGGAGTGTGGCCTGGAGACAGGCCCTGATAGTCTTAGTCATGTGGGTGGAGCAGGAGACTAGGATGCTGGGATGAGTTTGCTTCTGCTTCTGGGATGGCAGTCCCCAAGTACTGGCAGCTGGTTTAGTCCTAGTGGGTGCAGCAGGAAACTAAGGTACCTTGGCTCCTTCCACCTCCACCGGGATGGAAACCTCAGTGGCAGAGCCCAGGCTTAGGCAGTCGGTCCGGATATGGGACTTGGTATACCTGGTTCCGTGGGTGGAGCAGGAGACTATGGTGCAGTGATTCCCGCCTCTGGGATGGAAGACACAATGGTAGACCCCAAGCACAGGCACCCGGCCTAGTCCAGTGGTTGGAGCTGGAGATTAGGCTGCTGGGGTGCCTTGCCTCCTGCCTCTGAGATGGAAGCTGCCCGCCGTGGCAGTCCCCAAGCACCGCACTTAAAAAGTTTTAAACAACTCTTTTGGTTATTTACTGGGGAAGACAGAACAGGGGAGAGGCCATGGCATGGACCATTAATGCTCTGGAGACCTCATGACCCAAATCAGCAGTCCCTCTCCTTCCTACACAATCCATCTGTTCCCTGAGCACACAATGAGATACCCAGCATCCTAATGAGAGGGCAACAGTGTCTGACACTGGAGAAGAAGACAGCATCTGTAACAACACCTGAATTCCAGGGGTAGTTAGAGAATGTGTCAGCTTCAGAGTGCCAGTGTGCATCCGGGCTTAAAAGGATGATTACTGAGGTTGGCATCAGGGGTCTGAGGACCATGACTTCAGCAAAAACTGTCCAGTAAAACCTGCTCTCCCCACCACAAAAGAAAAGCCTGCACCCAACAGGAGGCCTGGAAGAAACCTCAGCCTGCAGGACTGTGCTTTGTGGAGACCAATAGAGGGCAGGGTGGGGCACACATGAATGTGCCACAGAAGCACTTCTCTCCCAACCTCAGGGAACCTCTTCTGCCCACGCCTGGCTCTGTGGCACAAGGCACCTCTGAGCCTGGCTAACCATAGCTGTATTCATTGCCTTCCTTAGGTCCCAGATCCATCGCACCCACATTCCTGTGGTGATGTTCTACACTGTCCCTCCACACCCAGTGCCTTGGCTCATCACCACTCCTGTGAATGAAGGGACCACCCCGATGGGCAGCTGCCACTCACTTGATGTGATGTACTCTGGAGCTTTTCCAGGACTCAGCGGCACGGCTTCCTCATAGTAACCCTCTGGGAGAGAGGACGTCGGTAAGGGTGGAGGCCCGCTATCAGGAGGCTGAGGGCAAAAGGAAAATCGTGCTGGATCAGTGTAGCTGCTGAAGGCAACCCAGTATCTCCTCTATAGAGGAGGTTCAAGGTCACTAGGACCTACACTACTTTTCCTGCTCATATCCAACCCCAAGCCTCATCCTGGCTGGTCACAGACCACTCAGCTCCCACCAGTACCTAAAGGGAGTCCAGCTTCACATGGGGACATCTCACCTGACTACTAGTGGCATGCAGTGAGCCATCAGAAGCCTGCCCCCAAATCCATTTGGGCTGACTCTCACTTGCCCTCTGAGCCCTTCTCCAGCTGAGATGGGGTCTGTGTGTTCCTCTTCACCTCCATAATGCCCTCCAGACACTCCAAAGCTGAGTGCCCCCTAAAGACAGCACCAAGAACAGAGAAAATGTGTGCCCATTCCCAGGTATTCTTGAAAGTGCTGAACAGTGGGGCTAAATCAGTGCAAATCCATGAAACACTCCTGCCTGCCACTCTCTGAAGACAGAGTCTGTTCTTTACTTAAACCATCCAGTCAGAATTTCCTACAAACTCAGGCTGTTTCACTCACTATAAGTACTACAACATGAGACCATCAAAGAGGTAGGAGTTCCTTAGCCTCAGCCCAAACACGATCCTACCAGCCTGCAAGATGCAGCTCAGATCCCCTCTTCCTGAACTTTCCTGACCACTAATCCATGCCAGTCTCTTCTTTGCTCATCCATGGGACCCTGCTGGTCATCGTTCTTGCTGGTCCTTCTGCCAAGAGAAAAGGACAAACGGAAGGAGGTCTGCTGTACCAGGGCCCCTGCTCCCTGCCTGGCAATGCACTGCAGTTTCACTGCTCACAGGTCGAAGCAGTCAGCCGGACAGAAGCCCTGCAGGAATGCTACCAAGTAGCCTCACACTGTGCAGATGCAGAGGGCAAGGCCCAGAATCTAAATCATGCTGCTCAAAATCAGACTTGCTCCAGCCACGGTTGTGTTTTCAGACACCCTGGCATCTGTTAAAGACCTTTTCTAATCTTCCCCTCCTCTGTGCACAGCCGATTCACACTATCTATGTTCTGTAAATAACCAGGAAGTGGCAAGCTCCGTCCAACTCAGACACTGCTCCACTGACATCATGGGCTTTGTTTTTATTCTTATGCAAACCCTCCAGAATGTGATTCCATCACTTTCCACTAACTCTCAGTCCAAAAAATCCTTTGTGAGTGACTAATGGCCACTGCACGCCCACCCTGCCTCCTCCTGCAGCTGCAGAGGATTGATTCCCAGTTCAGCTAGCTGAATACTATTATCCAACCTCCCAGGCCTGCTCCCTGCAGAAACACCTCCAGTTCCTTCCTATCCCTACCTTGATCCCTGGGTGGTCACCGTCCTGCCATCTACCTACAAGTTAAAAGACCACCTTTGTAGGCAGCCATCACTCATCAAAGGGGATGCTGTCCCAGGGCCCATGCTGGCTTATCCACAGTCTTCCTGCCCTCCCTAGGGGACTGTCCTAAGAAGGGACCTGACATGCTGTGCTTGGCACTGGATGAAGATAACCATCCAGACTGGAATTCTGCAGCTGCTTGGGGAAGCTCTTTGATTCACTGAGTGTTTCATGCATTAGACAGGGACTCCACCTTCCTCTGAGCTTGGTAAAACTGACAGCTCACACTCTGGACTGTTTCAAAGAGCTGAGTCAAACTGATGTCAATCTGTATCCAGGTCAGACCTCCCTCCAAGGAGTTGAAAGTAGGAAAGAGGTGAGAAAGACTGGTGTGTACTGGGTGGGGTTTGTGAACAGATGCAGTCAAGTCATTGAGGACACAGCCTTCAAAGAGACGCACTTTAGTTAGACCTCATGGTCCCACCTCTAGAAACACAGCAGGAAGATCTTTGGACCAGTGAGAAAAAAAACAAGCTCAAGAAGTTCAACAAACGTTTCTGGAAAAATCTAAACAACCATCAAAAGAATAATTCTGGCCCAGGAGATAAAAACACTTGGAAAGCAGGTTTCTGTGAGTTTGAGGCCAACCTAGTCTACATTTTGAGTTCTAGGACAGCCAGGGCTGAAAAGGAAGGAAGGAAGAAAGGAAGGAAGGAAGGACCATAAATTATTTTTGAATCCTTTGATTTTAATTTACTTGAAAAATGTCAAGAGGTAGTAACTGCAGAAAACTAATGTATAAGGATACACAAAAGAGACAGAATTCTTATTTAAATGATCTTAAACAGTGATGAACTTTGTTTCTGTTGCTGTGGTAAATATCTTGATAGAAAACAATGGGAAGAAGAAAGAGTTTTCATTTGGCTTCAATTCCAGGATCCAGTACATCATTGGGGAAGCAGCTGCCTGGCTGCTGCTTCATGAACATTATGACCATACACAGATTCCTAGTCAAAATATCACTCGCCTGGCCCCTGGCCCAATCCCTGATCAAGTCCTTGCTTCTCTCTCAAACATAACTGGAGCCTCTACTGTCCACCTAACTCTCACCATCTTCCAAACCCCCACAAAAATGACCCATGCAGCTCTGAGCATGGCTTTCCAGCTGAAAATTCCAAAGTCTTCCACATTATTCCCTACAAACAGCATGATCATTTTATCACAACAGCAAGTATTTATAGCAACAGGCAGAAGGCAGTATCCAATGTTACAAGCCACAAAAAGGCAAAAACCAGAACATAATAGCAGCTTGCAAACATAGGAGATAATTGTAACCAGTATAAGTCACACGCTACTCTGGAATTTTTGTCGCCCCCCACCCCCACCCCGCCCGATGCCTCAATGATCAGGACACATAAACCAGCTCTTTCTCCACTAAGCTGGTCATGGTGTTTAGCACTACAACAGAAAGCAAACTAAGACAAACATCATGCTTTCTCCTGATAAACTCACTGCTCCTGCCCATCAGCTTGCCCAGCACTGAGGCCTCCTCTGGGCATTACTCACCCAAAATCCTAGCATCTACCCACTCACAGGTACTACACAGTTCTGGGTACATCTGGCTCACTCTTGGGTTTGTGCCTTTATTTGGTGGCCCCTCTGCCCGGTATGGTCTCCTTCCTATTGAATCCTTATCTCACAAGAAGCAAACTCTCCACAAAGTCAGTCTGTCAAGATCAATGATGCCTGGCCAAAAGCCAGTCCAAGGAAAACTGAATTGAGTTTACTAACTGACAAACTCAATTTTCACTAAGCACCCTAAGAAAGACAGGCATGTTGGACTGTGTCTATGATCCCAGTACTGGGAAGCAGAGGCAGGAGGAGTATGAATTCCAGTCCAACCTGGCATATTCAGTGAATCCAAAGTCATCCTGAGCTACAGGCAGGGACCTACAGGCCATTATCCTCCAAAAACCCTCATAAAAATGTCCTAGAGTGTCTTAGCCAAACACTGAACTGTCATGGGTTGACACAGATATCATCCAGTCCTTCTGCAAAATGACCAGACTGGTGGCCACATAATGCTAAACGTTCATGGCTGGCAGGCTCTTCTCTAAAGTGCTGACCAACCTGTCTCTGGGTGAACTGAGGGGAAGTTCACAGAAATGCAATGCACAAAGCACTGACCCATCAGTGAGAACACTTGTTCAGAAACTAGCATCCAAAGGGCTCTGTCCCTCTCGATGGCCTTCAGGATATGCAGTCCAGAGCAGACCAACTGAAGACTGACCAGGAGGAGCCATATAGCCCTTATAGCCACCACCACTCTCCTGCCTGCGTCTAAGTACAGATTCCTCCTCCTCAATCCTAAGATGCTCCTAGACACAACATGTGACGATGGAATGAGGTACTGCACACTGGCCAGGTACAGAGTGCCACAGGATCAAGACAAGCCTAAGTTAAAACATTTAAACCAGAAAATAGTAGACCACTGATTTCCATCCAGCTCATAGTTTGGAAAAACAATCTACCAGTAAAAACTATTAACATTGTTGAATGAAATACTTTTGGAATATGATTTCATGTAGATAAAAACAGTAAATGATACGATAGTAATAACAATAATAAAAGATAATTAAAGTTTTTACGACAGGAAAGGAAAAGAAAGCAATAATTAAAAATAAGTTTATGGTCTAGCAAGATGGTTGCGCAGGTGAAAATAAAACCCTCGAGCCTGACCCTAACCCTGGAAGGAGAAAACTGGCTCCTGCGAGTTGTCCTCTGACCTCCACACCCTCCCCATGACCCTAACCCTGGAAGGAGAAAACTGGCTCCTGCGAGTTGTCCTCTGACCTCCACACCCTCCCCATGATCCTAACCCTGGAAGGAGAAAACTGGCTCCTGCGAGTTGTCCTCTGACCTCCACACCCTCCCCATGACCCTAACCCTGGAAGGAGAAAACTGGCTCCTGCGAGTTGTCCTCTGACCTCCACACCCTCCCCATGACCCTAACCCTGGAAGGAGAAAACTGGCTCCTGCGAGTTGTCCTCTGACCTCCACACCCTCCCCATGATCCTAACCCTGGAAGGAGAAAACTGGCTCCTGCGAGTTGTCCTCTGACCTCCACACCCTCCCCATGACCCTAACCCTGGAAGGAGAAAACTGGCTCCTGCGAGTTGTCCTCTGACCTCCACACCCTCCCCATGACCCTAACCCTGGAAGGAGAAAACTGGCTCCTGCGAGTTGTCCTCTGACCTCCACACCCTCCCCATGGCACATGTACGTGCTGGAGCCCATTCAGAGAACAAGCCCAAGCCTGACAGGCTCCTCCCACCTGTGGGCTATGCCAGATAACAATTTCTGCTTTTCCTGCTTACCAAGTAACCTTCAGTAAATCACACACCCTCATAACCTTTTCCAAAAAATCAGTAGCCACGCTCTTCACATGTTATAAATCAGTGGTTCTCAGCCTTCCTCATGATTCAGCCATTTAATACAGTTCCTCATGTTGTGGTGACCCCAACCATAAAATTATTTTTGTTGCTACCTTATAACTGTAATTTTGTGACTGTTATGAATCCTAATGTAAATTATCTGTGTTTTCCAATGATCTTAGGTGACTTCTGTGAAAGGGTCATCCCTTTGGGGGTTGAACAATCCACAGGTTGAGAACCACTGCTATGAAGTGTTTTAGAGTTCTTAAAAACCCTGCCAAAAGGATTACATGAAATAACAGCTGTCCCCTCATCTGTGGTTACCACATTCTTCAGCCTTGATTGCCTATATTCAATCAAAAGCATGATGTGCAAAGTTCTATAAATCACCACTAAGTCTTAAATCCTTTTTACTCCAGCACATTGTTATAATTGCTGTTTATTGTTAGTACTCATTATTGTCATTTACATCTCACCCTGCCCAATCATAAATTAAGTAAAGCCAGAGACAGGTGCAGCACTGTGCAGGGACACCATACCATGGGCAAGGAGCCACAGCATGAGGAACGAACACAGCTGTGGAGACAGACAAGACATGATCCTGCCTCTTCCGGTTCAGACCCTGGCAGAAAGAATACATGACCTAGCTGGGCCGTGATGGCACATGGCTTTAATCCCAGCAAGCAGATGGCAGAGGCAGGCAGATCTCTGTGAGTTTGAGGCCAGCCTGGTTTACAGGGTTCCAGGACAGCCAAAGAAACACAAAGAAACCCTGCCTCAACATCCACACCTGACACAGCAAATGTAGATAGCTTTGCTATCATTTTCATGAAAGTCAAATTCCCTGATTAAGCAAGCTGCAGAATATAAAGATACAGAAAGGGCTGAAGGGAGATGGCAATGGTATACGAGGACATCTCCAGTTTGAAAAATATATATATAGCAAAAAAGAGAGTCCTGAACCCATCTGAAATACATGAACTCAACTGAAGAGTACATTTCTGGAATGTGCCCATTTTTCTTTCTCAGGGGGAAAAAGCAAAAACACAGCAATGAATGTCAGGTCACACAGAAAGATGGTAGAGTCTTCGGGCTTCGCAAACAGGATTCTGCCTGCTGTGTTTTCTGATTCCCCTGCATGGCTTAACAGACTTCTAAGAACCTGGGTTTCCAGGATTCTACAAAGAAACTTGAGCTCCTTCTGTTAGAGGCGGCTTCAGGACCCTTGAGACACACAGTGCAACAATCGCCTCAGGCACAGAGAAGTTTTTCACCTTCTGGCTTCCATATCAGGCTGAGTGGCTCAGGCGTCCAGGGCAGTGTGGATGGTGGGCAGATGTTAACTCACCAGCCATGGCTGAGGGATCTCAGGCAGAGGCATCTGGGGAGGTGCTGGCAGGCTGTTGGCCTCTGCCTTCTGAGCATGGTCCTTCACTTCAAAGCCTGTAGAGATTAACCAAAACCACAGATGTGGGTGAGGAGGAAGAGAATGGTGCAAATATTTATTCTCTCTGATCCTTCCCAGCAATGCTGCATGGGGGCATCATGTTCTCCACTTAACTGTCTGGTCTACCTGAGACCAGAACAGACACCCAGGGAGGGGAGGGAGAAGGGCTGCAAGGATTCATGAAGTGGATAGTGTCAGAGAATATACTGGAAGAGAACACTTGAATACAGTTTAGAAATACAGTGGAATTAAAGAGGGTTTGGAAGCCTAGGAATCTAGCCCAAGGACACCCAGTGGCCTTCGAGACTCACCCTTGGATGATGACTGTATTCGCAGCAGGATGTTGGTAAGCACAGCCTTTTTCTCTCTGACAGTTGATGTGAGGTACTCGTGGTCCAGGAGCTCCAGAAAAAGGCGAAGTTCAACTATTAACTCTTCCATTGCTGGAAAGAAAGGAGAGAGGAGGAAGGGGCTCGTTAGGCTGAGGGTTTGCAGGGGCCAAATGGAGTATGAGCTCCACTCCATTGCCTTATGTTCAATCTGATCACCGAATGAAGCATTCTACATTCTAACACAGTAAGTGAGCTTGCTAAGCCAGGCCCACCGCAAAGTCACTATCCTCCCCACACGCTCACGGCTCCTTCACCCACACTTCGAGGCAGCAAAACTCACTAGAGAAGAGCCAGAGTCAAAACTGATGGACGGAGCAGCCCCGGAGTAGACATTTTTCCATGTCAGTGCATGGTGCTGAGTGTTAGTGTCCAGAAAGAGATCAGAGTTCAAACATCAGTTTTCAAATAGCCATCAGCACACAGGTTACAAAACCCTGCCCAAACTTGCTCCCTGAGCTGCCTCCATTGCCAGGACGACAGGGATGCTACACACACTGCAGCAAGGACACTGGGTGCCAGGGCAGCAAAAGTTCAAGTTCAGGTGGTGATCACCCCCCCCCCCGGTGTCCTTTCCCATAAAATGATGGCAGACATTGACATTTTGCACAAGACTGGAATGCTGGGTTGTATCAGCAATTTCTAAATGATTATGTGAGCTCCAGGGCAGTTCAAAACCCTTTGCAGGGTTGGCAGGTCCACAATAGTTTCACAACACTGAGACCCTGTCTTCCTGCTGCTGCAACGAGGAGCAAATAAATACAAGGGTGAGACTACGCGCATACACATGTCAAGCTCTGGTACCTAGCCTGGAGCACTGGCACAAAACTTCAAGAACTGGCACCTAGCCTCAAGCACTGGTGCCTAGCACTTAGCCTCATCAGTGACATGGTGTTTGTTCCTTGTAGCTGAGAACCACTCTTCCTGAAGAGTGCCCTTGAGACATCCTTGATACTACTCAGGTAGCAAAAGCCATTGCTTGCATCAAGTCTCAACCCTTGAGACTGGCCCTCTCCCCTGCTGTAGCAGACAGCAGCATGTTGGTCCAGAGAACAAGCTACAGAGCCTGCAGCTATCTGTGTCACCTGACTTGAATGAATAATGAGCCAGCTACAACTCTTCATTCACCCTTTCTTGTCTTCTCTGCTACTGGCCAGAGCCTCCTGTGTGCTAGGCATGCACTGAGCCACACCCCAGGCCTACCTCTTCAGCACTTCACAGTCACCTCTCAGAAACAAGCTGACTGTACGCGGCAGCTGATAGGTGTTTTCAAATGATCTTTTTGAGGGTTCAGTAAGAATTTTGGAGTCTGTGTCAGCCACTGTGAATGCAACAGCCCCCAAGACTGCGTTTCTAACAAGGTCAGGAGTAATTCTGAGAAACGATGCATTTGGGTGCTGCACAGAGTCACCCGTCCACGGTGAAAGCTATCTGCACAGTTCCGGTATTGTACAGCAAGTGTGGGCAACAGACAACCTGAAATGCAAAATGACCTGACGTTGTCCCCTGTGGTCCAGAGCCAGATAGCATCAGAAATGCCAGTCACCAGGCTTATGGCACAAAGAGAGCAGTCACCATTTTCTGTTAACTGAAAACCCTCCTTCCCAGCTATCTGACCGATCAAGGGTGCTTCTACCATTAAGATGTCTTCCCTCAGTCTGAATATAGAGAACCCAGCTGTCTTCCACTGAGCCTGATGTCAAACACACCAGCAAATTGAGTGAGCAATGTCTTTTTCTTGTTCTGGTAAATGAAGATATTTTTCCTAAACCTATCTAATATGTGTTAATGTGTGATGTTGACCAGTGTTTGATAAATTAACAAATGTCTTTAAACTGCTAGCTATGGAACACAGTACAGTGGGCAAAGCTCATTGACTGGTGAGAGCTGACTTATTCTTCCCTTACCTCTAGAAACCTAAAGCAAGTCACACATAAAGCACTGGAATGTCACTGGAGGAATGACACAGGACATTCACTGACAGCTCTTATAGGAGAAGCAAACTATGCCTGCCCAAGTCACTGTGAGGGCACTTGGCATCTTGTTCTGGGGCGTAGGGGGAACAGTACTTTACAGGGACAACAGTCAGGTCTCATGGTGGAGGGAGACCGGGCTGGAACATCTGTGGGGCACAGCTGAAGTAAGAGTCCCACTTTGACCTGGAGAAGTCCCCTGTGCATGGCAGTGAGAAGGGTAAGTGATTGCGGTAACTCCTGGGCAAACACCGAAAAGGCCTCTCTCAGAACACAGATGCTGAACACCTGCACATCTGACAGCCTGGCCACAAGGCCTGCCTGCGTCACTAGGAAAGGCAATGGTTCTGGGGGGCCAGGGGAATGGCAGTGCCCATACTTGCTGGGGCACCTGCTTCAGCCCTGAGGCAGGCACTGCCTCATCATCTAGAGGTGGGAGGAGAGTCTTGGCCAAAGTCACTCAGGTAGAAACAGGAGCCCAACCAGGAGTTGCAACAGGTGGACCAGGGAGGAGCCCTTTCAAGCCTCCTTTCAGACCACAACACTGAGTTCTACTGTCTTTGTGAGAGACATTAACTCTTCCGAGGTAACATTCAAAGAACCCTATCTATGCTACAACACAGAGGGTTTAGTTCCAGTCACTCCAGCTGTGCTTTGCTCAGAACTTTGCAAATTGCTCCTCAAGACAGAGTATTGGAAAGATGGCCAACTCGCCAGTCCCGGCTTGCTTTCTGCTGCAGTGATAAACACCATGACCAAAAGCATCTTGCGGAGGAAAGGGTTTATTTCACTTATGCCTTCCAGTCCATTACCAAAGGAAGCCAAGGCTAGAACTGAAGAAGAGACCATAGAGGATGGCTGCTTACTGACTTACTGACCTACTGGCTTACTCAGCTACCATTCTTATATAGCCCAGGCTCACCTACCTATGAATGGCCACCCCCACTGCTTACAGAGCCCTACCTAGGGATGGCACTTCCATGGTGTGCTGGGCACTCCCAACTCAATAAGCAATTAAGGAAATGCCTCATAGACACAGTCAGGTGCCAAATTGATCTGAGAAATTAATTCTTCAGTTGCAAGTGTTTCCCTTAGAGGACTGAAAGTCTTGCTCAAGGCTGCAGTCCACTCTTTCTGCTGAACCCTGGTCCAAGGACTGCACACACACTAACCAGTAGCCTCCTAACACCTGAGCATTTTTCAAGCTCTTTCCTCATGGGACCCTCATGATCTTATCATCTCCAAAACAGGTAGCAGCAGAAATGAGTTAAAAACAGCAGGTGACTGGCCGGCGACACAGACTGAGAAGGAGTCTCTGCACAAGGAGCCCAGCCCTGAAACCCAGCACCCTATGCTGGATAGAATGGCAGTCACTGAACACAACTGGGTCAAGAGCATAAGAATTGCTGACCTCCCCCCACACACCCCCAAATACCCTCATTCCATTCTGCTTGATGCTGTACAAAGGAGCTCATAGTCTGTCTCGTCCCCCAGGCAGGAGGCAACTTGCAGCCGGGAACCACAGTGTGCATCTCTCTGCAGGAATGTCTAGCATGATTCCTGACCAGTACCTGCTCTGTGTGGTAAGCAAGTTCACTAAGTGAATTTCTAGTCTCCTTCAGAGGCAGGATCCCTGAGATGTGCCTTAAAGAGAAAATTGCAGAGGAAAAAAAATCTGTCCCTGAATAGTAACTGTGTCTTCTATGACATATTTAGAACTGAAGAGAAGTGTGGCGGGAGGCCAACTGGGACATGGCCCTTTTCTTGGGCAGTTAGCACACCTGGCAGGGCCTCCTCTGCTAAAGCACATTCTCAGGCGTGGGCTGAAGTACTCCAGTGGCAAGGAAGGGAAGCAGCCACCACCCAAGTGTAGCCATGCATATTTTCCCTTATAGGGTTACAGCTCAGACTCCTCCAGCAGCTTCTTCCAAACATTTCCCCAGGCCTCAGCAGATAATCTAAGGAGGCTGCTTACAGGTTGGCCTCGAGCTCCCCAAAGCAGTAGCCAAGCTTTAAGTTTCCCTCAGCCAGACAGCATCATCTGAGTGTCTGGGTGACTGTGGACATGAATCACTAACCTTCTTTCAATTCTCTAATCCATGATGTCAGAATCTGAATGGTCAGCTGCCTAGCCACAATGCTGGGAAGATCCCAGAGGCTGTGAATAAGATCCTCATCCCAGCCAGGCCGTGATGGTGTACTCCTTTAATCCCAGCACTAAGGAGGCAGAGGCAGGCGGATCTCTGTGAGTTTCCAGGAAGTATTATGATTCTTAAAATTGGATGAATTCAAGGAAACCCTAAGAGAAATACCCTTGCATTGGTTTGGAGAAAGCTAAGACAGCCAGGATCTGGATGCAATTTCTGCTCATCAATGTGTACGTTATCACAGCACCACAAGGCAGGACTTTCTGATTCATATGAAGAGACATATGAAAGTCGTGGGTCACTTGGTCCACTACAGACATGATACGAGAAACATGGTATCCCCACCCCACTTATATCTGTACTCCACCCCAGTTTAATTAACTAGCTGGCAAACACTATGCTCACAAGGTTGTATTCAAAATCTAAATGCCAACATGATCCAGTCCTGGGCATCCATGCTCCCACAATCCAGAGCCACACACAACACAGGGAACAAGAGTGACAAAGGTTTTTGAAAAGATAATTCCAGAATGAGGATAGGCTGAGCAGAATTGGTGAAAGGTTGGAATTCGAAAAGGCACAGCCAGATGAGGGGAAGAGATGACTACTGATAGTAACCTAAGGATGGTTCCTGTGTGTGTGTGTAGGAAAAATATTTAGAATTCTAGGGTATCCTCATATTTCCAAGAACCCCAAAATTACCATTATAAGAGGCTGCATAGGAGAGACGTGTCTGACAACGCATTTCTGCCACTATACTGAACACCGAGAACATACAAAGGCAAACAGCTCAGTAATGAGCAAGCCAAGGAGTTAGGACATTTTTCCATGAAAGTTGCAAATGGCCACTGAATGTGTAGGAAGGCACTGCAATCGCTCATCACAGATACACAAACCAAACCACCATGGCATTCCTACATTCACCAGCTGACTA